GCTGGATGTGTGTAACACCTCTGAACTCACTTCAGCCTTGTAGAAAGAATGTGTTTACAGAGTCTTGATGTCATATCCTCTTAGAAAACCTGTCATATATATCATCTTTAGTTTGTTTGTACTCTAGCAGGTGTGACGTGCACAGGTAATTCGTCTACATCTCTTAGCTTTTTTTTTGTTTGTTTGTTTTAGAATTAGTAATTCTGGAAAAATAGTCAAAGTACCACTAAAGGATTCTGTGCCAGAAATCATACTTAGAGTTAAACTGGTCCCTTTAGTAAGGCCATTGTTTTTTTCTTTTCTCAGAAGTTAGCTTGATGGATTTTCCTAGCGCAGATCTTAACTCTAAGCAAGCTGAAGGTCAATGTTATTTTTTTTCTGGAGTTTTCATTTTTCTTTTACAATTGCAAATATGTATGAATAAAATACTTAATCAAAATAAAAGTAAAAGTTAGGCTTTTTAAAATTCCTTCAACTTCAGTATGGACAAACTGTAATTAATTACAGCAATGCGAGTAAATGTAACTACTTACTTTCCATGTCCTGTATGTCAGTGCCTGAATAATCAGAATATGTAATTTTTTACACACATAAGTGCTTCTACTTTCTACTTTATCCATACAGGTAGCCTACAGTACAGTAAAACATTTATATTTTTTATTTATTTGGGCTTTGAGTGTTTTTTGAGAGTGAGAGCCAGATAATACAATGACCAAATAATAGCTTTTGTCATAGCATAATGACAAAAAGTTTGAGGAGATGGTATTTTCACAATGAAAACTTGCATCTTCAACTTCAAATAAAGGTTTTCCTACAAAGAATATTCTCATTAGAATTAATCACAAATTTCAATTTTATTCCCAAGAACCCTTTGAAACAATGTCCATTTTTAATGAGTGCTAATGGCTGCAACAAGGAGTGCGAAAACGTTTGCACAGTGCATAGAGAAAATAAGCAGCTACATTTGTGTGAAATCTCGCACAACACACAAGAACACGCCGCCGAGCGCATTATGTAGCATGACTCTGCCTGCTCTCCAGGCTGCAGAGATGAATATATATAGTTGAATGGAGGGTTTATACTCTGGTTGGAAGGAGGGTTAATATTAGGGTTGAGAGGTGGGTTTGATTAAGGTTGTTATTAATAGGGTAATTATTATCCGTCAAGCCCAGTGTCATCAGCTCTGTCTGCATCACTGCTGTTTAAGACTCTGCATCATCTTCTTTCTTGTGCTCCTAGCATTGTTTTACATCCCCACAATATGGCTTATCTCAAAATGTTCTCTTTACAACATCATGTTTACAAACCAATAAAATTCTAAAGATTAAATATTAAGATGATGCATCTACTACTTGAGAAATTCTCCCCAATGAGACACATTTCTAGTCTTTTCTTGGAAAGAACAAATTGTTCTTGTTAATCAATGGAAATGTAATTGAGTGACAGTGAGCCTGAGCCCTCAGACCTACATTATGCTGCTCTTTGATCTATTTCCAAAGACCGATTATTTTCCCCCTCCAAGGCTAATTAATCAGTGCATTGAAGACGTTGGATGCTGTGTATTTAGTTTTTTAGAGGCAGACGCCCTGGGGAGCCAAGTTTATACAGTGAGCTGTCATCTAAGCAGACAAACAAGCAATCACAGCTCTAAAAGATGAAATATGAAAAAAAAAAAAAACTGGATCAGTAATTGTAGTTTTGCAGCCATAAATGAGTGAATTCAGATGATATGGGGCGTTTAATTTGCAAAATCAGACTGAGTAATCAGAGACTGAATGATGTGCACTCATTTTTGATTAAAAACTGAAATGAAAGGAGTGGGTAAAATGACTTACACGCTTCTTTTGAGGCCTTAAAAATAAATAAGAATCCTCCCAGGTTGATGGTATTTTCAGATTGGCTCATATTTAGCAAAATGATAAGATTTATTTTGAATTAGGATCAGAAAGACACATTAGGTAATTTGACTGATTCAGGCAGCAAGCAGAAACTGAATACCAAAGTGCTTTAAAAAATGGTAAATGGATTGTACTAGTGGAACACTTTATCTTGCTGGAGAACTTCAAAGTGCTTCACATTACATTCAGTCATTCATGCATTCACACATTGATGGTGATAAGCTACATTGAAGCCATAGCTGCCTTGAAGAACCCTGACAGAAGCAAGGATGCTGCACAATCGCTGCATTTCTGACCAACACTAAAAGGAGAGACGAGTCAAGTGTTTTTCCTAAATACAAGACCAAGTACTAGTTCAGAAGAATGAACTACCATCTCACGATCTCATGTTTTCTTTCAGATAATAAATACTTATTCTCAGTTTACAAATCTTTGATTCTAGTTGAGTTTGACTTTATTGAATGTTGTGTAGTGAAAGGATAAAGTTATGTACACAGAAAATAAATTTAGAACAAAAGCAAGCAAGAGAAGAACAGTAGTAAAGTATATTGACATGTTTAAAGAAGTGTTAGGAAGTAAAATTGTATTTTTACAGCCACTCCTCTTGCTTGGTTATCATACATTAATGTTTGTATGTGTCATTATGAACAAGCATAGCTATTTTATTATGTTAAAATTCTTTTTAGAAAACCATAAGAGCAATACTGATGTTTGCCCAAATTTCCATACTGGTGCATCACTACTAATAATTAAGGTGCATCTAAAAGGAAAAACGGGACTGAACAAGTAATAGTAAGTACATATGCAACCATCAAACCCTTCTAGTGACACGATTGCACATATTAAGCCTTAATATTTAATCTTGTACTAGAAGAACAGGAAGTCCTCCAGGAGGTAGTAACATGTTATTAGAGAGTTTTTTTCGAAGGAGCAAATGGTACTCTTGCCAACACAGGAGTCATGGTCTGTCTCATGATGACATTCTCGTAACCTGAGAAAGCAGGATGACTTTGTCATGCAGGACCTCTTTACTCCCTCACACCATGCTATGAGTGTGTGGCTTGTCGCCTCAAGCGCCGGCATTTGCTGCTGATGAATCCCTGCTGTCACTCTGGTGATCCCTGCGTCTTGGTAAGCCGCTCCCCACTGCAAAGAGCTTGTGACAGCCCTGCAGCCTCGTCTATGGCTCACCTGAACAAACTGTCCTGCTGACTTGCTTAATGAGCGCTGCAACATTTTGGTGGAGCACAAAAATCTTAAAGTGAAACAAGCCATCATGTTAAATTCACATTGTGCTGAAAACTTATTTTCCCAGAGCTGAACATGTTAGGTCTCTGTTCTCATCTATTGTTGTTGTTTCAGCAGATCACAGTATGTGTTGAATGGTACAGTGATGGAGGAAGTGGAATGCCTTCAATAAAGGAATGCAATAATAAAAATAACTTCAAAGAGAGTAAAATTCATTTTAAAAAAAGCCTCATTCACAGATCTGAGTTGTCACCTCAGGGAACAGACTGACCAGATTAAAGATTAATGTTTTGTAGATTAGATGGTCTGCAGTAGTCTAGACAAAAGCTGCATGATTGACATACAGAATCGAACTGAACTGATCTGATTTTGCAGCTATGATTTGAATATGGCTGAAAGAAACTGACTGATTAAATCCAGTTGTTGATTCTTAAAATAGAGAATTGTAATTTGGTTCTATATAAAATAAATAAATTGCTGATTTTTCTCACAGGGGCTTCAATATGGGATTAAAGATGTTCTTCCAAAAAGATAAAATAACTAAAATGACATCTTTAACTGTAACTCCTGCTTTTGCTGAATGAAGGGGAGAATGTTTAAACAGATTTGGCACCAGAAGGAAAGATGGTAGAACGAAATAGTTCGGTGTTCCAATAAAACCAGAGCTTTGAGAATTAAATCAACCCTCAGGTAATTACATTTTAACACTTGATCAACCTCTTTGACTTGCGTAACCTGTGGTTATCAGGAGATTATCTATATTTCTGTTTGCAACAGCTCCACATGTCAGGAGGATGGCCAACAGAGTCAAAGACATTGAATGCGATGTATATTTAAATATACAATCAGGTGCAACAAAAGTACTTATAGAATCTGTCTATTGCATCCATAACTAACACCATCACATACCACTAAATTAGTCACAAAGTTAATGTCTGAGAGTGCAAAATGTAGGTGTGAAGGATTCATTTACATGAGTTCTTTCAAGTGAAATGGTAAAAATATTCAGAAAACTTTATGAAAAGCTTGTTGAAGGACACCAAGAGCATTTGAAGTCACACAAATTCTTAATTTAAAGAATTCAAAGCCAAAAATTAGAAGTCTCATGAAAATATCTACTATTATTCCAGCATTTCATAAATTAAAATAATTTTGACGATCTTAAACTAAGACAAGAATAGTTGAGTCAGATCTAATGTGACTGTGAGGAAAGAAAGGTTGTGTGTTTTTGTGCAGTGTATGTAAATATCTAGTTTCACTGGGAGCTGAATTGAAAGAAAATTCTCCCCAAAACTTTGATGTGCAACCTTCTTAAAAACTGTCTTCTCTGAGAATTTCTTGCTCTGGGCTCTTTCACTGTTCAAAGTGTACCGCTGCCTTTCTGCTGCTTGTTTTATGATTTAAAAATTCAGAGTAATGCAAGACAAATAGATTTTCTTTCTCTTTCAGATGTACAAATACAGATGAGTATTTACAACCTAGCCTTTGGTGTCCTGTTTATTTGATCTGGAACAATGTTGAGCTCTAATTAGGTGCAAATGCACTCATTAGCCAAAGCCACTCTGCAGAGACCAATTGTCAATGAATAATTCAAGACCTCTCTCCCATGCACGACATCAATACTTGGCTCTTCCTGCCTCCACACTCCTGTGCATTCTCATCTCCAATTGCATTCTGCCACTGTGAAATGAAGAGTGTTTGAATTTATCTGAAGAGCCACTCAGAGAATACAAATCATCTGTTTCTTTCAAGTCCAGGTTTCAGCCTTCTCTTGTTAGACCCCTGTCATCTGCAGAGTAGTTTTCATTAGTTTCACCCCAGTAACCCTGCTTCTTTCTCCCATTTCTCCCGCAGGATATGGCCATGCAGCCCCCAGCACAGAAGGAGGGAAAATCTTCTGCATGCTCTATGCCCTCCTAGGCATTCCCCTCACTTTGGTCATGTTTCAGAGCGTTGGTGAGCGGATCAACACCTTCGTCAGATACCTGCTCCATCGCCTAAAGAAGTGCCTTGGAATGAGGCGCACTGAAGTCTCTCTGGCCAACATGGTGACCATTGGTTTCATATCCTGCATGAGCACGCTATGCGTGGGGGCGATGGCCTTCTCCCACTTTGAAGAGTGGAGCTTCTTTCACGCGTACTACTACTGCTTTATCACACTCACCACCATCGGGTTTGGGGACTACGTGGCACTACAGAACAAAGACGCCCTGCAGACCAAGCCGGAGTACGTGGCCTTCAGCTTTATCTACATCTTGACGGGCCTGGCGGTGATTGGAGCCTTCCTCAACTTAGCAGTACTGAGATTCATGACAATGAATGCTGAGGATGAGAAAAGGGACGCCGAGCAGAGGGCTCTTCTCGCCCATAACGGTCAGGTGGGTGGGCACATTAACTGCTCCGTAGACCCGGTCTCGCCCTCCTCCACGCCGCCTGGTTGTGGCAGTGGAAGTGCAATCGGAGGGAGCAGCGGAGGGGCTGCGAGCCGCGGCTTACGTAACGTTTACGCCGAGGTTCTCCACTTCCAGTCCATGTGTTCCTGCCTTTGGTATAAGAGCAGAGAGAAGCTGCAGTACTCCATCCCCATGATCATCCCACGTGACCTCTCCACATCGGATACCTATATGGAGCAGGGGGAGGCTTTCTCCAACCCTCTGCACTCTAACGGTTGCGTGTGCAGCTTGCACCATCACTCAGGCATCAGCTCGGTATCCACAGGTTTGCACAGCATCAACACCTACAGGAGACTGAATAAACGCAGAAGCTCTATCTAAACAGCTGGAAAACTTTGTTTTACAGTCTTTTTGCGTGCATCACCATGTGAGGTAGTCCAGCTGGAGCAGACCATCAAAGGAACAAAACAGCAGAACTACAGAGATCTAACTCTACCAATCTGGGTTTTGTTTTGGAATTAAATAATTTGGTGGCTTGGACTCAAGACGTGGTTCTTCCATTGATGGAGCACAAACCTTGTAGTATTAAGAGTCACACTAAAGCTAATGGTTAAGTGGCATTTACTACACGTCTTCTGACACTGTTGCACGTCGGCAATATCTTAACTCTAAAATGAGCATTTTTGTTGTCAGTAAGTATGGATATGGACTGAAAGAGACGGAAAAGCACTGAGGGATATGTATTAAGAGGAGAATTTTATAAAATAAAACAGTTTCTCAAAAGAAAACTTATTAGTAAGGAACTCACTTGATGAGTCAAAGTAAAATGTGTGTATATATTTGGACACTTCACATAAAACTTATTTTTTTCAATGAGAGCTTTCAAAAATATGAAAAAAAACAATCATGTTTTTTTTCTTGTATTTATTTTTCCACAATGCAGATTTTTCTTCCATGAGACCCTAACTCTAGATCAAATGATATATCTCACTGGTTTAAGATAGCTGACAAAAACACTGCCTTGCAAAAGTATCTTGAACTTCTTCATGCTTGTCACATCAGAATCATTCATTTCAAAGCATATTATTGGGGTAATATGAGAAACAAAAAGTTGCTTGCAAATGCGAATGTGGCTTTAAAATATTTTGTGAGTGATAGCCTTAAAAAGTTTGCTGTGAATTTTTTATTGAATCTCAATTAGTTAATTTAAATGACCTTGTTTTTCCATGACTTAATCTGCAAATTTTTGTCTGAAACTTTTGACTACTCTTTTTCCAAAACATTTCACCCTCTGTCGGGTGGAGGGGGAGGAAGGGTTCTTGGACATCGGTTTTAATGTCCACAGATTGATAATCGTAAACTTTTCCAGAATTGTTCAGGCTTTTTGTTTAGGATCCTTGTCATGATGGAATGTAAATCTTAATTCAAAGCTTTACCCTTTACAGCCACTGACAGTTTTACCCGTGTTTTCCTTATCCACCTTCCCAATAAGCTCCGACCACCATTCCTGTTCATAATTATCCACACAGCAGGATCCTGCTGTTTCATATTTTAATTTGGGCCAGAAAGTACAATTTTGGTCTTATTGGACTAGAGCACCTTTTTCTGCATGTGCCCTTCATGGTTTATGACAACCTGCAAACACAAGTTGTCTAAGAATGATTTTGTTCTTGCTTCTTTTCTGCTAAAGTCAGATTTTTGGATTACATGCCCAATACTGAGGACATATTCTTCAGGTTTTCTGGTTCCTTCTCTGATTGGTAAATTAATCAGTGCTCTGTGTCAGGGACACAGCTTGAGATTTAGTTTTATAGCAATACACTTCTTTGAATTTCTCTATATTATTATTCTTGAGCTTTGTGGAGTGATTGATTGTCTTTATTCATTGAGGGGCATCAGCGTAAAGAGGGGTGAATCAATATCCAAATAAAAGACTTTAAGATATAAAAAAACACTTTGTAATTCAGCAGTACTCATAAAATCCCAATAAAATGCATTACATTTTTAGATTATGACATGACAGAAAAGTAAAAGGGTAAAAACACATCTGCAAAACACTATAAAGACCCGACATGCAATGTCACCATTGGCCATTAGGCTTCCTTTGCCACTTTTTTCCTTAGCTTTATGAAATTACTATGAATTTATTTTTTCATAGGATGTTTTATGCATTAATCTGAATTATGTACATGTTCTCACCATATGTTTTTGTGTAGCTGGACTATAATCTGATATCTTAAATCAGAGCATGTAAGCTCACCTGTGTATTGTAGAAAGGCATATCGTATTCACTGCTGCACCTTAGAGAACTGTTTGTGCTTCCAGACACTGGGAGTCAGTGTCTGACATATTTGATTCTTTTTAAATGAATCCCACCATGTTGTGTTATGTAAATGATAAGACCTAATTCATATTACTTGTTGGGGAAGTGGGAGGCATTTGGGTTGATGCTCTGTACTTTGTGCTCCTCATAAACAAAGAAACAGCCTCAGATTTTGCACGTCTTGCACTTAAAGGGGCGGTGGGGCATTCTCAAGCCCCACATTCACTTGACTCAACCATTTGAGGTCTTTTATGTGTGTTCATTTTGTTTCATGGAAGAATCGACATTTGTCTTTATTGTATTTCTGTAGTTTATCTTCACAGTGAGTCATTATGGTTTTCAGTTTTCTGAAGTCCATTACTACAGTAAACCTGTTAGCGTTTTTCAGCAACTCACTACTTGATGAGAAGAGTTGTGTGTGTTACATGTACATGTTTTTGTTTTCTTTTGAACATAATAAAATATTATTTAATTTAAAACGACAACTGTATTTGAGTGTTGAATGCTGAAGTATTAGAATATATGGGTTTCGGTTTGTATGAACTCATCAGTGAGGCTGGTCACTCAGTGTTGGACAATATATTACTTTCCACAAACCAGCATTGCATTAAAAACCAAATCAGGAGTGTTCACTTCATAATAGCTACGCTAAAAACCTTGTAGAATCTATTTAAAATGGCAATATCTTGAGATAATAATTAGGTAAACAAAACAGGACTTTTCTCATGTAGAAATGTAAAAAGAACTATGAATGCAAAGAAAAAAATAAATCTGATAGAAATAAATAGAGAAATGCGTTAGTAAAACTGCAGGAGGGACCTGATTTAAAGGAGCCAACACTTTCACCACATCTCAGGTGTTCAAGCAGTTTGAGAAGATAACAATCAGATTGAAGAGCCGTCTGATGACCAAAGGGTTCTACATACCATCAATTACATTTTACCTTCTGCTTTTATAAACAGAGCCAATGCATGGATTTAAGAACTGATGTAATGTGATCCATGTTCTCTGGCAGCGGCCTTTTGGATGAGCAGCAGCTGCCTGATTGATTTTCTGACCTGAAGGTCAGAAGTATGAGGCAAATCCATTGTGTTCTTCAAAACACCTTTGCTAATCTGATATTTGAATCTGTATGTCACTAACGCTTCCATCACGCCAAACATTTTACCCACAGTGAAAGGTTATGCAACCAAAAGAAAGATGACTCAGAGTTTATTCGTCCCTGTTATGATACGTATTATGCAACTGTCATGCTGTGCTTTAATTGTTGTAGGAGTTTTCCCTTTCATATTCAGCAAAATGTGCCTAAATCCTGCATTGAGATCATGAAGCCAATCATTGTCTCTTTTCACCTCTGGCTGACAGTTTTCCACATCATCTGTACCTTCGCTTCACTGGTTGTTCTGATTTATATAACAGATAAACTTTGTTTATAAAACTGTGGCCCTAATGAAACTTTAAATGCTTTCGTGTCACAATTGTAATATCATGAGAGATTTCTGAGACTTAAGTGCTTCAGTGGGTTTTGTTGGGATTTGCTTTGGGTCTTTCATGCACTGCTGCTCTGATGTTAAGGAATTCATCTGCGAAAACAGATTTCCAGAACGGACATCCTAGACTTAGCCGGGCAATGTTTAGGTGAGACTGAATAAGATCAGAGCACACACTAGCAAGCGGAGATCAGGTTTGATACTTAAAGCTGATGAAACGAGCGCCGTGTCATACATTTTTATTCCACCCTTCCTCCTGTTTGCTCTCTTCAAGGACTTCTGTAGAGTTAAGATTCAGCACTGAGAGAGGAATGTAAGGCCAACGCAGGACAGCCAAAAACAGCAATATATTGAAAGGAAATACTCACCCCAAAAAGAAAGTAAATTTAAAACATAAACATTCTTACAAAAAAAGAAAACATTCCCAGAGGAGCAGCAAGATGTTTTGCGTCAGTAATTTTTGCTATGCATATATTAGAAAATCATTCCATTTAAGTTTTTACATCAAGGGCAAAATTATTTTTTCTGTCTTAGAAATCCAAAAGAGGATACACGTTGGCAAAAATAAGAAAAATAGAAAAAAAAATTAAAAAAGAGATGTGTTTCTGTTAGAGAATTTAATATGTGGAAGATGGAGGAAAAACAGGTCAAAGCCTGTAGACATTTAAATTTTTCCTGAAGACAAAGACTCTTCATTTCAACTCCACAAAATACACAGACAAAAGTGTTTTAGCTCTTTTCATTCTTTCTAATATATATTCTTTATTATTTTGAATTCAGTACATTTATTAACTGGGGAAAATCGTCTCATTTTAAAAAAAACCAGCAATTCCAATATTTTATACTTTTTTCAATAGATCATAATGTTTAGGCATCTAAATAACGGACGAACATCTATATTTGTGAATGAATATATAAAAATAGATTGCTTAGTGAAGTTATGTTTTCCATCACAAAGTTGTCAACTATACTTTGAATCAAAATTCAAACCTGCTCATTGATGAACATCAATTTACATTCAATTTGCAGCTTATACTGGAACTTTAAATATCTTTACATTAAGAAAAGACGGTGACCTTCCATTACTGTTCTTTATCTTTAATTATTAGTTCATTTTTTTACCCAAATAATACAAATACTTTGCTCTGTAGGATATTCTGTCCTCTCTGTGGCCTGTGGTAGCTTCAGTGATCATGTGGAGTTTTATTTTTGTTTGCTTGTTTCCATCCCAGATGCATTCAGCTGTCAAGCCGCTGCACCACTGAGTATGCAGTGGAACAATAAGAACCTGCAATGACCATTCCTCTAGGACGCTATCAGAACAAACTGTAGGAAACAACACGAAGAATCCTCGGCTCAGTACGTTTCGGAACATAAATGACATCTGACAGGCTGCAGTTCTTTATGCTCCAATGACCAAGCATTACAAAATGAGCGGAGGAAAAGGAAATCAGTCTGCTGCGACGCTTCTGCTTGTGATGTGTGAACACCACAGAGGGTTAATGACCTGCTGTCTGTTCTCCAGCTGAGACACAATGAGCCTTCTCAGTGGTGACTGATGTGAAGACGTAACCTCAGGCCAAATCGATGATGACTAAACGTTTTTCAGTTTAATTGGACAATCGAGGGAGGATATAAAACCCTCTGTTCTGCGTAAGGCAATACATCACACTCAAATAGTCATTTCTATCAGCTCTATATTAGCAGAAGGAGAATAATCTTCTCTTCTCTTGTCAAAGTGGAAAACATCTGTGACTGACTAACCGGCACTATGTCAAAGCAAGCCATTGATTTTATGAGAAAAGAGTGTTTAAACCCTCAGCATTTCATGAATTGTAGCCATTTATAAAAACATTATAGATTTCTGTGTCAGTCCCCTCAATAGATGTGATTCAAGCACCCTCATTCCACCCTTCTGTTCTTTCTTTGCTTTACTATTCACTTAATTTTCCTCTAAGATTGACAACTTGTTGAATTACCAGTTTTCCCTCCTCCTAATAATCTCTAGATGAGTCCCTTTCAGGGTTAGCAGAGCATACACACAGTAATAATGAAAGTAGGGAGGCTGACTGTGGCTCATAACTGTGGAGTTTCCTCTACGTTTGACTATCAAGTGCTCAGTTTCACTCACTTCTTAGTTTTATTCGACAGGAAACTGAAAGTTCAACTTTGTCTACCAGGTCCTTTATCTGGGGAAGGGAGACTCCCATTAATGGCCCTTTCCTCTCTTGGCTGGTAATCTCATGGAGAGGAAATGTCTTTTTAAGTGTTGGAAGCCATTTGTTCTAAAGAAAGCAGCAGGAAGTTGTGTATTACTAGCTGACATGTCATAATTGATGGTTAAAGTTTGCTTTTTAGTAAGAAATGTGTTGTTTGATGCTTAAAACTCAGTAATTTATTTTCTCGCTTGAAGACGGCAAAGAAACTGTCACTTCAAACTGAAGGTGTCAGCCATCAAACATGTCTAATTGCTGACTTTTTCCTATTATTCATGTGCATGTTTTTTTTTTTTTCAAAACCAGTCCCAGCAAATAGAAGAATTAAAGTTAAAGAAGTGAGATATTTAAGGTTCTTTTATTTACCACCTTTATCAACCCTGGGTGACGGTGCAGCTGTTGTTTACTTCTTTTGGTCATTGACGAGACGCAAGATGCAGCCTGGAGAAATTCTCACTCTTAGAGGGCAACACAGAGGATGCAACCATGCATGCATGCACTCAAGCAATTTAGCGACATACATGTTCTCTAGCTTCCTTTAGGGGGAAGCTAGAGAGGGCACATACAAGCACATAGGTGCCAAACTTGCAGGCCAAATCTGGCTCAGAGTAATAATATTTGGCCTAAATGTTCACCAATAACACTACAAACCCCAGAATACTCTGTTGATGCCGTCTGTGCCCTACTCTGTTAACCTCCAATAGTGACTTCAAGCAGAAGAAGAGATGCCATGTGGTTTGAACTGGTGAGAATGACAGATCCTGACACTACAAGAAACTTTTCTTACTGGACTTTCCTTGCATAAGTTATCATCATTATCATTAATAGCAATGTAAAAAAAAAGAAGTCTCTAATTTTGCAGTAAAATACCAGCAGCTTTGGTTGCCAGAAATTGAACCATATAAATACAGTAAAATTTGGCAACTATGGCTGCAGGAATTTTATTGTGAATTATAGGCATTTTTTACAGTGTAGTAAAGAAAAAGATTACCATTGCAATTTAACCAAGAAGATGAGAAATGGTGAGAAAGCAAATATATAACTCAGATGTGCCTTTTATTTAGTAAATTTTCAAAGGGTAATTTTATCTATTTTGTATTAAGCACATATAGCATAATTCTATATGTGCAACTTGTCACTCTGGTTTCAAATATTTAAACTCTACAAGTTTAAATAATCTGCAATAAGTGCTTGAAATTTTGTTGAAATATAATGGGAGCCAGCAACAAGGCTGCCGTTTGAGGTCTCCTCCATTGTGACTTTAGTGTTGTTGCATAACTGTGACCTCTGGCTTTGCTCCTGTTGCTGACTTTGGTACAGTCATCCCTCCCCAGCACTGCAAACCACACCATCTTCTATGTAATCATTCTGCTTGCGTGGATTCAGATGTGACCCCAGCTTTGTGGCTATGCAAGACGTCGGCTGGCACTCGCCGGGATATTCTTCTGATCACGGCTGATTATGCTGTCAGCGGAGACGGGAACAACAGGAGCACAGAATGATCTCAGAGACACATGGTACCAATTTTACAACTTTCTTGGTTAACAGCACATGCCTGGGTTATGAACTGAAAAAATGGCGCTGATGTTTTATGAAGGAGTTGTATGTCAACATAGCCGCAAAATCAGAGTCACCATGTGTAATTTTAGCTTCATGACATTGATGTCACATGTGAAAAGATACATCATTCCACAATTTGCCACAATTGGTATTAATTATAAAATAAACAAATCTAGCGCC